ACCAATCCCTAGCTTATCTGAAGCTTTTAACATAGTTCTCAATGTAGAGCAACAAAAGTTAATTTCCCAGAACCTTCAAGTGCAACCTGAAGCGGCAGTTTTCGCGGCTCAAGGGGAAGCTGAGCGCGCGGACCGTCGTGATCGAAACGATCGTGGCGATAGATCTCGATGTACGGGGGAGCAAAGGGAGAGAGCTCGTTGTACTCATTGCCTGAAGCAAGGACACGTTAGAGAGACGTGTTATGAGCTGATCGGATACCCACCTAGATACAAGCAAGGTGACCGACAGCATCGTCGGCCTCAAAATCAAAATGACGGAACGAGGGAGGTACAACACCGAGAGCCTCGGGCATCTCAAGTAGACTCTGATCACAGTCCAGTGGCAGGCTTTTCTGTAGCTCAATTGAACCAACTTAAGCAATTTTTCGGCCTTGGAGACAAAGCGACCGAGGAACGTGACCTGGCAGCTCATATGGCAGGTATTATCTCTAACGATACTGAGTAGTTAATTGATTCGGGTTGTAACGAGCATATTACCATGGATGAGTCGTTATTATCTGAGAAAGAAGCTCATGTTAGTATTCAACCAGTTCGGATTCCGAATGGTGAGAGCATCCCGGTGAAAAATGTGGGTTCTGTGACATTGCAGCCTGGATTTTGTTTAAGCCGAGTTCTCCACGTACCTGAATTTCAAAGTAACTTGGTTTCCGTGAGTAGACTGACAAAGGATAATCAAATGGCTTTGATTTTCCTTGATGGTTTTTGCGTCAATCAGGACTTATGCTCCAGGAAGTTGATTGGGAAGGGTGAGCTCCGTGACGGTCTTTATTACCTGCGTTTGTTTGGAGCTGGAAGAATGCAGGCATGTACGGTTCAGAGAAGGAACTCGGTGGTGGAAGTGGATTGGCATTCGAGGTTGGGACATCCCTCACCGGAGAAGCAGGCTTATATGAGTCGTTTGTTGTCTTTTGCTATGTCGAACAAAAGCCCTTGTCACTCTTGTTCACGGGCAAAACAGTCACGTCTACCGGAGAAGCAGGCTTATATTAGTCGTTTGTTGTCTTTTGCTATGTCGAACAAAAGCCCTTGTCACTCTTGTTCACGGGCAAAACAGTCACGTCTACCTTTTCAGTCTAGCACTATTAAGACAACAGCCAGTTTTGAGTTGATTCATGTGGATCTCTGGGGTGGTTACAAAATTGCATCCTTGAGTGGTGCTCATTATTTTCTGACGATTGTGGATGACATTACACGTGGAGTTTGGGTTTACCTGTTACGTTATAAGTCAGAGGTAGAGCATCACCTGTTGCACTTTTGTCAAATGGTTCATACGTAGTTCAGGTCCTCTGTCAAACGAATACAAGTAGATAATGGGTATGAGTTTAATACAGAGGCATTGCGGAGTTATTATGCACGTGAAGGAATTCTGTTGCAGACATCGTGCACCGATACGCCACAGCATAATGGAGTGGTAGAGCAAAAGCACCGTCATATTCTTGATACGGCTCGTGCACTGCGGTTTCAGACTAGCTTACCTCTCAGATTTTGGGGAGAATGTATCTTGACGGAAGTCTATTTGATAAATAGACTTCCCACTTCGGCTACTAATAAGACGCCATTTGAGCTTCTGTTTAATCGACCTCCAACGTACCAACATCTGCGCGTTTTTGGATGTTTAGTCTATTATAAAGATACACATGCTCACCTAGATAAATTTGGTGAACGTGGGCAAACAGGCGTGTTCTTGGGATACGCCGCGAGCCAGAAAGGCTACAGGATCTATGATTTGAGGTCTCAACGTATTGTTACTTCCCGTGATGTGCAATTTCATGAACGTTTGTTTCCTTTCTAGGATAGTACTAGGCAGGAGTTGCATTGGAGACCTCGGCCAGTCCTTGGTGGGTCGGATGATTGCTCTACTGTCCAAGGAGAGCTTGGTGGAGATAATTCCACCTCCCCATTCACACGAGGTCGAGAAGAGGAGCACCAGAAGACAAATGAAGTTGTCTCCTCTCCTGGTGAGGAATTGGTTGACCTCACCTCTCCTTCCAAGCCAATTCATGTTGCCACTGAGGACTCGCCAGCTATGAGTCCTCCAAGTGAAGCTCCAACACCCCTTCCGGCTTCACAACCCTCACCTGCTCCAGCTGTTCGCAAAAGTGACCGACAACGCTTTCGTCCGAAGCATTTGGACTCTTATGTCACCTCATTTCCTTCCGTTAAGGACCAGGGAAGTGCTACCAATTTTGTGCAATATCCCTTAGCTGCATGTGTTAGTTATGATGGCTTCAAACCTCACTTCCGTGCTTTTCTTGCAGCCATTACCCAGCATGATGAACCAAAGTACTTCCACCAAGCAATCCGTGACCCTCGCTGGCGGGAAGCAATGATTAAAGAAATTACAGCCCTCGAGAAGAATGGAATTTGGAGCTTGGTTCAGTTGCCTCCTGGGAAACGAGTGATCGCGGCAAAGTGGATATATAAAATCAAATATTTTCCTGACGGGAGTATCGAGCAGTTTAAGGCTCGACTTGTAGCTAAAGGTTATACGCAGATAGAAGGCCTAGATTTCCATGACACTTTTGCTCCAGTGGCCAAGTTGGTTACTGTTCGGTGTCTTATTGCAGTAGCAGTCAGTCGAGGCTGGCATCTTCATCAACTGGACGTCAACAATGCCTTTCTCCAAGGCGAATCAGAAGAAGAGGTGTACATGGAGATTCCTCAAGGTTTTCGTACTCCCGGTGACACACGAGTATGCCGGTTAAATAAATCCATGTACGGTCTCAGGCAAGCATCGAGGAATTGGTACCAGAAGTTTACTGCTGCACTAACAGAGTATGGTTATCGATCCTCCCCTGCCGATGCCTCACTATGTATTTATTGTCGAGGTTCGGTGTTCGTCACAGCACTCATCTATGTCGACGACGTCATACTGACAGGTAATGACTTGCCCTTCATCAACCGAGTTAAGAAGTTCCTTGCTGATCGCTTCAGCATCAAGGATCTTGGCCAGCTTCGCTATTTTCTTGGTATTTAGCTCTCGAAGACTGCTACTGGGGTGGTACTGAGTCAACGAAAGTATGCCCTTGACATTCTCGAGGATGCTGGTGTTCAGGGATCTCGACCGAGTGATTTTCCTATTGAACAGAATCACCAGTTGACCCGTCCGACTGAAGATAAGCTTGCCGATCCTTCTTTTTATCGGCGACTAGTTGGCCGATTGCTCTATTTGACTATTACTCGGCCTGACATCACATATGCAGTTAATATTCTCAGTCAATATGTGCACTCGCCTAGCCCAACACACTTGGATGCTGCTTTCTGCGTGCTTCGCTGCCTCAATTCTTCTCCAGGTCAAGGGTTGTTCTTCCCTTTCAGCAACCCTTTGCGTCTTACCGCGTATTGTGACGCCGACTGGGGTGGATGTCAGAGCACTCGCCGTTCGACGACAGGTTGCTACATTAGTCTTGGGGGCGCACCCATCTCATTGCGCACCAAGAAGCAACATGTCGTTGCTCGTTCGTCCGCAGAGGCGGAGTACCGAGCCATGGCTAGCACAGTGAGTGAAATTTTGTGGCTTCGATGGTTACTGCAGGAGTTGGGCGTACCTCAGTCTAGTCCTACTCCTCTTCATTGTGATAACCAAGCAGCCTCACACATCGCTAACAATCCTGTTTTCCATGAGCGGACTAAACATGTGGAGATGGATTGTCACTTTGTTCGTGAACGCGTCCAGTCTGGTCAGATTTTGCCTGTGAAGGTTCACACTGATCTCCAGCTCGCGGATATTCTCACTAAAGGTCTTGGAGCTGCAAGCTTTCATTACTTACTCTCCAAGCTGTCCGTTTGTGATCTGCACGCGCCAGCTTGCGGGAGAGTATTGGGCCGAGTTGATGCTCCCCAGCCCACGTTGTCTATGAGTCCTGCAACCCATGTTGTTGACGTGGTCTCCAAGTCTCAATCGGAGCCACTTTGTCATTCACTTGTAACCTAGGTGATCGTGAGTTAGGGTATTTAAGGACCTGTAAGGCTTTATGCCGCCATCATCAATAATATCATAAGTAGCTTTCCCGTGGACATAAGCCTCACCAAGGGTGAGGAAGAACCACGTTAATCGTGTCCCTTTTACCTTTCCTGTAATTTTCTCATACGCAGTAGAAACAAAGGAATAATTTGATTCAGAGATTGAGCATCGTAAGGCATGAAGAATAAGTTTATCTTGACGAAACCAGTATTGATAAGCTGGATTGGTTGTGTCTGCGGCATCCACTATGATTGTGCGAGCTGAGCAACGACGGTGCCGTCGATGAATCCAAACAAATCCAGACCCATGAGCAGAGTTTCAAGCTGTGAGCGCCATGAGGCGAAATTGGTTGGAGTGAGCTTCAAAGGAAGCTGAGTTGCTGGATTGAAAGTGACGATTGTTGGAATTTCCGCAGAGGTAGCTGTGTTGGTGAGCACAGAATTGGCTGACATTGTGATAAAAAAACAGAGTGTATTGAAAGAGCAGGGAATGACGAAGGGTATAGGGGAATTGGATCTATCTAACTGATCCTTGCTAGCTCTGATACCATGAGAGGATATTTGGATTTGAGAGAGAGGAATAGATTGCAATCAAACGTGATTTGCATTGAGATATTCTGTTCACTATATAAATGTTTACAGGAGAGTGGGTTCTGAGAATTCAGGAGGGTTTACAGAGGAGTGGAGAGGTGGTTGTACAGGTGCGTATAACTAGGATAAATAATAAAGGAAAATGGAAATAAAGAATTTTATTCTTTATCTCTAATAGTGCCTAGAAGAAGACGATCAGCCGAGACAATTGAAATCGAAGAAGAATGGAGTCAAGAAATGGGGGATTGGAATCATACTAGAAGAGGAATTCTTTCTTCGTGCTTTTCTCTCTAGATCTCGCAAAATGCCAAACCAGCAACAAGCATAGAACCGAACAGACGAACAGTTGTATACAACGAGTGGTTCGCCTCACTTCTTCGACTCACCGAACCCATATTTTAACATCCTACTATTGATACATTACTAGATGGCCTTTTTGTTAAGAATTAATTTGTGACAAGGATTCGTATGTTAAGGATTCAAATCTGGAGGCTTGTATGGTAAAAACACCAAACTATAGGGTCCATTTAGGTCATTTGCCATTTTAACCAGAGAGCAAAGTAGGAAGAACAATTTTTAGTTGGATCCTCAAAAGGAATCTCTGCACACTGTGTATTCTAAGATAAGCATAAGCATCAACTTCAGATCCTTCACTCCTCCCACCACCACCACCAACTCATTCTCCTATCTAATTTCTCTCCACTCTCCGTCAACCATCACCAATTTCCAGCACCGCCGCCGCCTCCGCCGCGATGGAGATCCAACAAAATCTACTCAAGTACAAGCTCCACATCATCTCCGCCTCCGTCCTCTCCCTCCTGGCCGTCTCGCTAATCTACCTTGCCCCGAGATTGCTCGCCATTTTGGCCTACTTCTGGCCCCTCTACCTCTCCACCGGCCTCTTCCTCGTCGCCATCGTCTTCTTCGGCAAGACTTCCCCTCTCGCCGCCGATCCCGATCGCTGCGGCGACAAAGCCGCGGAAGGCCTGCTGGACTACGTCGCCGGCCAACCCCCCGCCGTCGAGGCGGATCCGCCGGAGAGCTTCACCTCCGGCCAGTCGGAACACGAAACCGATGACTGAATGTTTCTTTCTCTTCTTAATCCCTTCCAATTTTTATTTTTTTTTTGGTGTTTCTGACTTTCTGTTGGGTTTCTCTCCGTTCCTGTTGACGGGAAGTTGAACGGCGAGATTGAGAGGATTGGAGGAAGAGGAAGCGTTTCTTATTAGTTAATCAATGATAATTACTACTTTTTTTTTCTTCTTCTTTTTTCCTTCTCCCCGCTGTATTATTTTCTGTATGTTGATGTTCCGGTCGCCTGAATTAATGGTGGTGGTGTGACTGATGACGATAAGGATGGTACGGCGATGTCTGTAGTGGGCAGGGAAGTGGGTGGGTGAATTACGATCGCCATTTTTCACCACTGTAGTAAGAGCCAAAAAGGGCTTTTTTTTTTATTTTAACTTCCAGCTGCTGCCACTGCCTTTTCTTGTCTGTAGGAGGAAGCCGTTGCTGCAATTAATTGCTAATCAAGTTGCAGAATGAGTAACAGTCCAATTATTGGGCTTTTATTTGGGGGGGTGATTTAGTTTGTAATTTGAAACTTTCGATGATGTAATGATGCGTAGTCAATAGTCATCTTGTTTTGCTTACCCCAATAATAATAATAATAATAATAATAATAATAATTTAATAATGCGTTTCCTGGCAATAATTACAGCGTTGAATAGGTTTCCTAATTGGTGTTTTTTTTTTAGTTTTGGCGAGTGGACCTGTCAATAACCTTGAACTATGTCAATATTATTTTTCTCTCTGGTAGAGCGGAAAATTTTTAAAACTACACGATCATTGATCGGGTCATAAGAACTGTACGATCAAGTTAATTTGTAAAATTATCATCACATTCTCCACTAATTGTTAATGACGAAATGTATGATCCAACTACATAAGAATTTACTCGGCAGAAAACCGTGGGTTGGACAAATAAGTAGAGTGGTTATCACTCAAAAGTTTTGCACTCCACCCACCGGTGGCCGACCCATTTGGTTTTATTTGTTTTTGGGGGAATGGAATGGACGGCCACCGACCACCTTAGCCATTAGCCTTAGGAGCAGTATTATGGTCGTAATCGTAACACTTCTGATGGTGATTAATTAGCAAGTGTATTAACACCCATAAAAACAAACTAGGGAAGAATAGACCACGTGTACCTCTCTCAATAAGTTTAAGAAAGACTAATTATTTAGGGGGTTAGTCGTCTTAATTAAGAATTAAAAAAAAAGGGGGCTCTCGGTACTTGTGAATCTTGGCCTACCTCTACCATGTAAGATCACAGTCCGATTAAATATTCCTGGGTGCAGCGTCGAGCAGAATTTATACGTAATTTAAAAATAACAATCGCAATAATTAATAATAATATTATTATTATTGTCTGTCTACTACGTTGATTTGCTCAATATTCTCTTACGGGAGGACCTTCAAGCAGAGACGTTGAATTTTTTATGCGGCGGTGGGTCCCATCCCATCCACCCAACGTGGCCATGATTGGTCGAGACAAATGGACAGTACTCGTGTGCGGCCCACGCCGCTGATGTCGGGTGTGGAATCCGAATATGGTTGTGGATTCGGGAGGACCATTTCATGGGCCAGAAGCCCAAGCAAATAGACGATATACCACCATTGGGCCAATTTCCCAGCGAAATATAGCTTCCATACATTCATACATTACAAACGCCAACGGTGGGTAAGGAAGAAAAAGTTTACAGGAAATTTTTGACATTAGAGGACGCTACTACACATCATACAAGCAGACCAAACACTTGAGACTTCTTTGTATAAGAGCCCTCACTTCTTTGCTTCAGTTGATTGAGCCAGAAACAGATCAGACGCGGTGATCGAACCCGATTGGTCGACGTCAAGGCCCTCAAATTCATCAGTTACCAGCATGATATCTTCCTGGGTGATCTTCCCCATCTCTTTCAGCTTGTACAGCACAAACTCCGCACACCTGTCAATAAAGCACACACTGAACGAGTTGGACAGAAGCAAACGATCGAGTGGCAATGTACGGGGAGACAAGAGAAACATCAGCAGAATTACCCGACATGGCCATCACAGTCGATATCAGCAGCCTCCAAGTCCCCAGTGGTCATCTTTCTAGTAAGAACCCAGTTCACCAGTGCCCTCTGTCTGCTCTCAGTGAACACCTCCGCCACGTAGAGGAACAGCTGAGCTAGCCCAATGGTGCTTACCATTATCCAAACCACAGCGAAGAGGCGCCCACCGCTCGTGGAGAAGCTCTTATCACCGTACCCCAGGGTGGTGACGGTGGAACACACACAGTAGAAGGCATCAATGAATCCCAGATTCTCGACTTGGCAGAGGAACACGGTTCCAGCCACCATGAGCACTCCAATGATTCCTGCAGTCAACAGGCACTTGTACTTCGCCTTTTTGGTCGTGGCTTCTTTAAGGATTTCGGTTGGGCCGGTTTTGTCTCGCAGGTGCATCGCCTTCACTAGCAGAATCTCTTGCTTCTCCACCAAGTAATCGGCTGCTTTGCTCACTATCAGGCCAACGAGAGCCATCCCACTGAAGACAAACAGACAGGCGAGTAGCTTCGTGGCGGCACTGTTTGGGACCAAGTCTCCGTATCCCACAGTGGTCATGGTGACAACACAGAAGTACAGCGCATCAAGAAGATTGTTAGTCTTCTTCCCTGTGATGTCATCTTTCACAAGGTAAAAGGATAGCGTGCCGAGGCCCAAGTAGATAGTCAAGTAAATAGCTACTTGCTTAATGCTAGGGTGAAGGTTCCCAAAGATAGACTCTGCACAGGGGATCGGCCCATTGTCCTTGCCAGCTGGTGCTGGAGGAGCCAAATCCGCTTGAGGAGCACTCCTAATACGTCTCAGCACCCTTCTCTTTGGAGCATTTGCTGATGAGCTCATTTGAGGGTTGGGGTTGGATGACCCTGAAAGCAAGGGCTCCCTTGGACTATCACAAGCCATTAGGACAGTAGAAAAGAACCGGATTGCAATCTTACGAGATCTGTCCATTCAAACATATGACTAGGTTTTAGTTATCTACCAGAAAGATGAGCAAAGAGGAAGCAATCTAAGATTATGTAGCCGAGGCTGAATTAGTTCAATACCAAAACAACAACATGGAATTTTTCAGACAAATCATCGATGCTTTCTGTCTGTTGCTTACAATCAATCACAACAAAATAAAGAGAGATAAACTTCACAGATCACGCCTGAACTTCTTTCTTTGGAATACACTCATCATATGTTCGATTTCAAATGACAAAAGCACGAAAGTAAAACAGCAGACACATAGCAGAAAAAGGAGACTGGTCAGTAAACTGAGCAGAGCAATTATGGATATGCCTCAGTTTCTGATATGCAAAATTCTAAATGGTGACCATTGGGTTGTGACCAAACAAATTTAGCTAGCATTAGTCAGTAACCCAAACCAGAGTAGAGGTTTGAAAACCCTAATTCAACCATGAAACACAAAGAATTCAAAGTTACCCTAGTATTGAAAGCCTCATTGTGAGACCCAGCAGAGTGTTCTACTACTCCACCCCGCCTAAGAACCTGCATGGATGGAGGTTTTGCTTACAATTCAAAGCGTACCCAGGATCCAATTTAAAGAGAACAACAACCACCCGCGAAATTTCCAAGCAAATTCCCAATCATGTCAGCTTCCCAATCATTCACTCTTTAAATGACATCAGTTTTGCGTCTCTATTATCGACCGCAAAAGGGTCAACGTCATAAGGGGAGAAACAAGATGAACAAGTAAAGGAAAAATTTTGCTAGTTGGGATTTGGGAAGCTTCGTATGCCAAGCCAAATCGGAAAAGAGCTGACCTTTTGTTTTCTGGATCAAGCTTGGGAAATACTCAACTAAGCAACACAGAAGTTCCCACATTAAATTGGAGGAAAGCAAGCGACGACGGAGGAAAGAGGAACAGAGAAGCGAGAAAAGATGGGGGAGAGAGATTTACCGGTACCGAAAATTGAAGCGGTGCCATTAGCAGCTGAATTCTGTCGGGTCTCATCCAAAATGGTCACTGGACGCTTCCTGCAAAGAGATTGTCTTGGCCGGTCGGAGTATTGCCGCAGCAGCCACCCAGTTTCAGTCTCTACTTCGGCTTCTTCCCCAGTTTCCGTGGTGGCTGGATCAGGAATTACAGGGGGAACGGGGAGAGAACAGGATCTTTAATCTTGGGCACTGGATCGTTGAGTTGAGCTTCCGTTAGCTGTTTAGCTTTAATGGAGTTGCTATATTTGACCAGATAATTACCGCTCAATAATTAAACTTGTCATTTGCTTCAATTTTCACATTTTACTGGATACAGTAGAAAAACCCACCTTCCAAATGCTTCAACAAGCCCAGTGACTGTTTTGAGGCCTGATGAACAGGCCCAGCTTTCTTTCACTTCTTCCGCTCCGTTTCCACAATCGCTCATCTTGCGGAAGAATCAATTTATGGAGGGAAATCGATCGAGCTCCAGACAGAGGAATGGAGTACCTAGGCCTGGGGAAATCAGAGGTCCTTCAAGCGACAAGATCATACTTCCGAGATCCAACTTTTCCATGCCTTAGTACTTGTCCAGTAACGCTGCGACTGTTTTATCATTTATGGATGAAGAGTTCTTGACGCAACTTGTTCTGATTTTGCCCACTTCACAATATTGCTGGTTAAAGCTCTTGGTGAGAGAGACGATTATCCGCCATCTTCCTCAAAAAATTTAGTATTATAGGTTGAAACAATTCATATAATAATGTTTTATGTATTCTCTTCAAATTGATTGTTCAAATTCTTCTTTTGTTGAAACTCTCTTTTGTTGGTGCGTAGTTCAGGGCTGGGAGGGGATGTTGGTGCTGGGGATGCTAAGGTTATCATTGATAAGGTGAATGCTCGTGAAGTAAGGTATGCCCATAGAGGAGCTTTTCCTCAGGAATCAGGGCATTAATGTAGCTGTGTCCGAGTCTGATTGTACAGTTTGTTGGTAGACAAAACAATAGGGTTGCCCACATGGTGACAAGGAAGGCCCTCGTATTGTCATTATTTATAATACTTTAAGATATAAGGCTTGATATATAGGCATTGCACCTCACGTCAAAAGAAATAAATATTGGCTAAAAACCATAATTTGCTAATGTTATGTTTTTGTTAGCCTAATTGTTTCGTTGCTATCTTATTTTTATTTTGAATTATAAATAGCTAAGTGAGTGTATTATTAAATAGATAAGTTGTGAATGATTATTGAGTGTTATAATTGTTAAAAATACATTGATCCTCCATTTATGAAATGTTATTATGATTTCAAAAATTGACAAATAAGTTTAAAATTAACTTAATGTTATACAAAATTAAGAGTTTCAAATAATTTGAAAAAATTAGTATGCCCACTATAAATACGTTGTGATTAAATAACATTCCGAATGAGTTGGACAGAAGGACAAAGCACCAATATAGTTAAGGGATATATTTTTTGATGCAAAACAGAGCGTAGAGGGGCACTCTAACCCCTTAACCATTACTTAGATGAGAGGTTTGAACCCCGATAGTGTCGAAGTACAACCAGTATTGAAGAGTAGGATGTATCAAGTAAATGCACTCCGACACATAACCAATGGCCAAGAGAGGCCATAAAGTCTGCTACAAAAATTTTTTCTCGAAACACATGGGTAACCACAACCTCCCATTCCCTCTCCAACAGGGGTTATGTAATATAACCGGGGTTGGATACTATCACTTCCCCTAAGTTTTTTCTCGGAATACACACGTTCATATAAAAAATTCTCAAAATACACACGTTTTATAAAAAAATTCCCAATCTACACATGTTTGGGCATTCACCGCAACAGACTAAAGCGGTGAATACATCATCGCTGCAGAGGAACGCGGTGAAGGTGCGGTGAAGGCTCCACCGCATTTGTCGGTAGCAGTGAAGCCTAACCTGCGCTGGAACTTCAAAAGAACGTAACTTTGCGTTCGGGTATCCGATTGTAGCGATTTTTTTTTATTTCGCATAATTTTTCGAGATCTTTCAAGCCGCAACCCACCTTCATCCTGGAAAAAAAAACATGGTTTGCTACCCCGAACGAGCAATTTTTTATTTCGACAAACTTTCGACGGCCATAACTTTGTGCTTCACAATCCGAACGTCATGATTTTTTAAGGACCAAGGTGTTTAAATCCATTGGGACGACTCTATGAGTCTTTGTTTGGCCAAGTGTTATACAAGGCTTTTGAGCTATTCAGCATCGCGCATTCGCGCCACCCTGGTAGTAGAGCTCCTGATATCGGAGAGACTTCCTCGGACACAATACGTGTATGATTTGATGGCGTGGTCAAGCGTGGCCAATGGGGTAGTTTTGGCTTCGTAGGCTTCCAAGCGACAGGTAATGTTCTTTTTGCCTTTGGAAAGTACTGTGATGGAATACAAGATCCATTTGTAAGGGAAAGTTTAGCTTTACGCGATGCCATACACTATGCATAACACACTCTTTTTTCTGTCAAATTTCATGGGGATTCTCAACAATCGATTCGACGGATGGTAGGATTAGACTTGGCTCATGATCGAGGTGAAGCTATCTTGGAGGATGCTCGGAGCTTGGCTTCTCTCTTTAGCTGGATTTCTTTTTGTTTTGTTTCTCGTCGACTCAATAGGACTGTCCATCATGTGGCACAAAATGCCTTTTCATTGAAAGTTCGACTAGTCCACTTCCACACTCTTCTTATTTCCGACAGAATTTATATCACTTGACCTTGTGTAAAAAAAGGATATGTGACCAAATCAAAACGCGCGGGTAGAAAATAGGTTTCGGGGAAGGGAACACAGCAACTGTTGAGCAAAATGCCGACAATACAAGGTCTCCCGGCGGACCTAATAGCGGCCACGCTCTGCCGTCTGCCGGTGAAGTCACTGCTTCGCCTCCGTTGCCTCTCCAAGTCATGGTGCTCTGAAATAGACAATTCCTCTTTCACCCAAATCCAACTCCGACACTCCAAGGAAGCCTCATCCAACCTCAGTCTCGTCCTCAACGAAACATATCAGTATTTCGTGAACCTCGAATGTCTGAACGCCGCAGTGAAGCTGGAACACCCACTCGAAGCTCAGAATTTGGATCCTCGGCTGTTGTAATGGACTGCTTGCGGTCCAAAACTTGGATGAGGAAATCGCATTCTGGAACCCTACCACTCGCGAGCACTGGATGCTCCCCAAGGCGGAGATTGAGCTTCCTCCGGGGGATCCCTTTCGCGGGTTCTTCATTTATGGTTTCGAGTATGACTCCGTTCACCAGGACTACAAATTAGTCAGGTTGGCTCAGTTTTCCTGAGGAGGTGCATTGTTTTTCGAGGCCAAGGTTTACAGCCTTAGGGAAAATGCATGGCAGCGAATTGGGGATTTCCCTTATTTCTCTCTGTTCAAGTGGCGCCGTGGAGTTCTCGTAAACAATGCTCTGTATTGGGGGAAAATTCCAATATACATCAGTAATTAAAAAAATTTCCCAAAATACATGTTATAAAAAAATTCTCAATCTACACATGTTTCACATTCACCGCCTTTGTCTAAGGCAGTGAATGCAATCACCGTGTTAGATGAAAACGGTGAATAAGTCACCGCGTTAAATGAAAACGATGAAGGAATCACTGTTTTTATCAAAAGCGGTGAAAGGTTCACCGCGTTTAACATAAACGGTGAAGCAATCACCGTCTTTGTTAACGACGGTGAATTGATCACCGTTGTAGTCTGGTGAGGTGATAGTTGCCCACGTTTCCCACCACTGGCAGGTGAGAGTTAGGTCACAACCACCTACCGTTCATCGCCTTAGGGCAAGACGGTGATTGCCTTCACCACTTCTGCCGAACACGGTTAATGCCGGCCGATTTTCATATAAATACCCCCCACCAGCAGTTGGAAAAACGTAACCCCCCCTCTTCAAATTTCAGCAAAAAAAAACACCAAGCAAAATACACAGAAGCTATTTTCGGTATGATTTAATTTTGTATTGTTATATAATGATGTTTTTAGTAGTTATATTTATGTAATGAATTACTTTTCGTAGCAAATACGTTATGTTAGTTGAGAATTTATGTTGTTGTTAGTTATGAGATGGAGTAATATTAGTCGTACAATATGATTTTGGTTAATTTTATTGGAATTAAGCTAATAGTTACTTATTGTAAATTGTAGATATGAGCAAATTCAAGAAGTTTCAGCTTATTATTCGGTGGAATGGAAGGGTGACAAACTCTGACATTGGGATTAATTATGAGGACGGTGAATCCACTATGTTGAATATTGAGTCGCGATTCACGTGGCAAGAACTCTGTGACATTTGTGCATATAGGGTTTGTACGAGCGGACAGACGAGAGTTGGTAAAATTACATACCGGTATTGTGGAATTGGTTGCTCCAATCGATATTGCCTCAAGGATCGATCGGGTAGGTGCCACTCCACAATGTGCCAGCAGATCAATGGCACCTTGCACAACCACGTCTCGTGATCCTGGGGTGTCTCAGATGATGCAGCTCGACTACTTCACGTGGATATGGGTCCCATGTAACCTGTACTCATTAAAATTAGCGACCAATTACATTCACAAGAAATTAATTCGTTAAACTATTGTAAAACATGATTACCTGGTTCCACCAAGACTTATCATACTCAGCACGATAAAATAGTAAAGAGTGCTCAGGTTGATGGTCGTTTGTATTTGCTCCCATCCACCTTGTAAGTAAAAGTACGGATATAAGAAATTTTTGAAGCACTGAATAAATTTAAAATTGGGTTAAGTACAGAATAAATTTAAATCTAGCTAAGGTAATTTAAAGCAAGCAAAGCATGGAATAAATTTGCAATTAGGATAAGTACGGAATAAATTTAATTTAAATGTACCTAAGCATGGACTAAATTTAAATCTAGCTAAGTACAGAATAAATGTAATTTAAATCTAGCTAAGCATGAAATAAATTTGCAATTAGGGTAAGTATGGAATAAACTTACTTCACACCATAGGGGGGATTTTGCAGATTTCATAGCTCATCATCTGCTCTCCAGTATGGACGTGGGTCTTGAGGTGCGAACATTGGAAGATGCTCCCATACCCAGAGCTGGAGGATGAACATCGCAACACCAGCTTGTTTCGCTCCCGCCTTCGAGCAATTACAAAGCTCCCTATATATGCTAGCTAACATGGCCGATCCCCATCTCTATTCCCCGATCGCGTCCCAGTCACCAAGGAGCATTGGCAACCATATGCCTTGAATCCACCGGTTCGACTTGTCGGGGAACATAAATCCACCGACCAAACCAATGAGGTAGATGTGTGCATATCACTCCACTTGATCTTCCGGAGTCTCTGGGCCGATTTCAACCTCAGTTTGAATGTAAGTAACAAGCCATGGGATCAACACTTGTCCCGCATTCAATGGTGGATGCCCCCGTCCTTGAATTGGTCTCGTGGTCGGCATGTCAAAGCCCAAACGATCACGAATGAGCGGACCCCAACCTGGATCGGGTTTGGTAGTGGTACCAATGATGACATCTCTAGTTATCGGCAGCCCGGTGAGGATCGCAACATCTTTGAGGGTGCTCGTCATTTCCCCCACCGGAAGGTGGAACATATGGGTTTCGGGGCGCCATCGCTCTGCCATTGCCGTAAGCAGATCGTTGTCGATTTCAATCCGCATGAAATGCCTCAACATACCCAACCCAGTCCTCTCTATATACAGCGACAGTCGATCATGCCAAGCGGGCAAGTTAGTGGTCACTTTATGAATGACGGGAATAAGTGATTCCTACAAAAAAATAGAAAAAAATATTGATTTGTTAGTTAAAAGAAAGCAAAATAAAACCTTACTAAATTATGAAATAAAGTAAATTGTTGATAAGGTACGTAGTGTTTACCGGATTGTTGTCCCAAATTGCACGGGAGCGATGTGCTTCTTGATCGGTTAAATACCTCGTATCTCTTGGCCCATAATGGATATAGAATCGAGGATCGTATATCTCGATTCTCGGCACCCATCTATAAATAAAAGCAATGAAATCAGATTATTTTTATTAAAAAATCACAATAATAAATTGGAAATATTATAAAAAATCACAAAACAAAAACCAAGAACCTACCCGAAGAGCCTCTTCGTCCATTTTTTTGCCGAAAGCCGGACAGAGGTTCGACGGGTTTTTAAGGGACGGGGGCTTTGGGGTATATAACTCTAGTAATTCTTTCTGATATGGAAGATCGAACTTAGCCGCAACCACAGAGCATACTTAGAACAAGACTAGAGAGGATGAATGGAGGGAGAAAGAAGTGTAATGTGGTGGTGTGATTTGAAAGAGGGGGGAAGGGATCAATTTATAGGGGGAGGGATCTGCCAAAAATCAATGCAGATCAATCATTGCCCTCGACAAACGCGATGAATAAACCGCTTTTGTGGAAAACGATGAATGGCGAGGATCGATGACGTGGGAGCCTGTGAGGCGTCGGATCTGGAAAGAAAACCAAAATCCGCGCCTTTTTGCATCCGAAGGCAGCGGTGAAGGCCCGCGTGACGCGGATCACTGACGTGGACAGACGCGAGTTATTCACAGTTTTCGACTAACGCGGTGAATTCCCCGCGTTTGTCCACGTCAATGATCCGCGCCAGATTCACCGTGCCTGTCAGTTGCGGGGAATAATCACCGCTTTTATTTAAAACGGTGAATGCCTTCACCATTTTAAACGAAAGCGGTGATTGGTTCCCTGCATTTTCACCGTTTTATACAGACACGGTGAATTGTTCACCGTTTCATCAAAACGCGGTGATTTGTTCACCGCGTTTGTCAAAAACGGTGATGTCCTTCACTGCCTTTGACAAAGGCGGTGATTGTCAAACATGTATAGATTTGGAAATTTGTTTATAATTTATGTATTTTGGGAATTTTTTTAATTACTACACATATTGGGATTTTTTCCCTGCATTGGGCGGTTAGTAGCTATGAATCTACAGGTGGGGTGTTAATATTAGCATTGAATTTGTGCACTCTGGAGTATCGAGTAATTGAACATCCCATATTAGGAAAGCATGTATTTCACTTGATTTTGAAGGAACTGGGAGGTTGCCTCGCTATAATTGCTACTGACTACCCAAAGCCAGTTGATTTGTGGGTAATGAAGAAATACTGGGTAAAAGATTACTGGACTATACTAATGACATTGGGACCGCCAGTGAATGAGCCTTCTTTCCGATTCGTGCTCCCTCTTGCGTATATGGGTGATGGCTCCAAAGTTTTGTTTGTTCAGGATAATAACAAAGTTCGTTAGCTATGATTTGAGAGGCAAGAAGGTTGAATAGGTCAGAGTTAGAGGCATATCACACACTTGTGAAGTTACAGTCCTGGCAGGGAGCCTTGTGAAGCTTAAAAGCAGTAGTGAGGGAGTGGCAAATGCAGGAAACTTGCTCGCGAGTGCAGTGAACTTGGTTGGAATCAGTGTTGATGAGAACCAGTGCTAGTAGAAGAAGAGGAACCAAGGAGAGGTATAGGTTTCAATTCCTTCTTCTGATAAAATGATTAATGGCCTAATTTGACTGAAGCAAAGATCTTCATGCAATTTATTTGTTCATTCTGCCTTGTGGTGTTTGTGCTGTCATGTGGATAGTGTTGACATCAAAACTTTAAACAAGTGTCATGAACTTGTATGGATCTCAACTAGATAAGTTTCTCCAGTGCTGACTGGATGGACTTGTATTTTAGTTTCAGTAATGTAGCCTTGTGGTTAAAGGAGTATATGTTGGGTATTAGCGGAAGTAATGGTAATTTAGGATCAACACAAAGGAAACAATTGGTGTTTAATCACTCAATTTATGATTCACTCAAACAAAAAAAGCCTTAACTTTTGGCTTATGTTTTAAATCACTCAAGACACACTTAAAAAACATACACGGCAAGCTTTGCCTTTGCCCACTCTTTGTTTTTTCTTCTCTGACCCTCTATGCCCATACAGATTACATATATATGCATAAGAATACGATTAGAATAATTATAAGATGACCCATATAGTAAATGCATTTGGAGGCTAGCTCTTCTCTTCCAATCCTCTAACAAACGACACTACACATGCATGTATGGAGATAGGATTGGCCAATCATGTTCCACCATTACTAGTGCATTATTCACTTGTCTTTCCTCTTCAAGTTGCTGTCCATAAATTAGTTTGGTGTTCCTTCTCATCACGTCAAATCTGAAGCTCTCCAATTTAATAATGGATCATTTAATTGTTCAGGCCTACCATGTGCAAATGCTTAGAGATGATCATATTGCAATTATCAATTAACACCCCCTCTTAATTTGAAATTTGGAGTAGCTCCTTGAACTTCTCGAACTTCTCACGGGTGACCGCCTTTGTCATGAAAATCTGCACGAACCGGCACGGCTAACCGCCCTGGTGTCGGGGGCTTGCATCATTTTCCTTTGCTGGAAAAGACGCTCCAGGCTTGGATTTGTTTTTTCATCTTTGGTTTATTTGATTTCAAGTACCAGTATCGGAGTAATTTCCATAGCAACAGCGCCGGGCGGGGAGAACATATCTTGCCCCATCCCCTTCCTTTTTATCCTATGTCATTTCTTTCTTTTTTGGGGCTTTTTCCTTTTTCAAAGGAATATACCGGCGGCGAGGCAACCTCTAGTCCCCTTACTGTTTGGGGCATTGTTGTACTTTCTGACCGACTTTCCAAACCTGGAGTGGCTAGCGGGGTGGATCGAGGGACTCGACCTCTTTCTGCTCTTATTAGGATTGATTCTCTTCATTCGCTCTTGAATGCGACTTCGCCATTTTGTGACATAGTAAGAGAGAAAATTCTGTTGGAAGTCATCGGGACTTTGGCCACCATGAAATTGTCAGCTTTGTTGATAATCTCGCACACGCCATTATCAAACAATAGCTTGTAATTTTTTAGCATCAATTGTCCCACGCTAAGTAGATTGAGAGTTAGCTCCGGAACATACAAAACATCTCGAATGAGAGTTTTGTTGCCTTCTTCTGTGCATACAACAACTGTGCATTTTCCTTCCACTTTTAGCTTCTTCCCGTCGCCCAATTTGACTTGAGAGGTATTTGTCATCGATGTCGGTGAAGGACTCCAGATCTCCAGTCATGTGGTTACTGCAACCACTATCCACCATCCAGGGAAGCTGTGATTTTTGTTCACCATACAAGCATGACAAGGCCACCATATTGCTTTCTTCATTTTTGGTGCCGCTTGACTCGCCATCTTCTTGCTTGTTCTGGAACCAGCAATCTCTCTGGGAGTGGTTTTGAATTTTGCACTTGGTGCACTTGAATCTGCAGTCTTTTGTTGCATGACCCGACTTTTTGCAAATTATGCAACTCGAGCCGGTGTAGCCCGATCTTTGTTGTTGATAATTTTGTCTGTTGTTTCCTCTGTAATTGGATCTTCCTCTTCCTCTCCCTTGTGTGTTTCCCCCTCTCTGTCCTTGCTCCGATTTGGCATATTTACTTTCGGTCATGTTTACTTTTGACGAGAAAGCTTGCTCCAGTGGCGGTTTGGTGAAGCGGCTCATTCTTTGCTCGTGTGCTACAAGTGAGCTCATCAACTCGCTCATTGGTAGATTTGCCAAATCTTTGGTTTCTTCAATGACAGCAACAATATGCTCGAACTTTGATGACAAACTGCGGAGAATTCTCTCCACAATTTTTCTTTCTTCCATGACATCACCGGTGGCTTTGATTTGGTTGACTATCTCCGCCACACGCGAATGGAAGTCTTTGATGGTGTCGGTTTCCTTCATCATCAAGTTGTCGAACTGTCGCCATAAACTTTGGCGCCTGATAGAGATTGCCTTTTCAGAACCTTGAAATTGTTCACGCAAGACATCCCAAGCTTCTTTGGCCTTTTTGATGCCATAGATTCTCGGGTAAATTGATTTGCTCACTGCTTGCTGAATGATTCTCAAGGCGCTGGCATTTTGCTTGGCATTCTCCTTGTACTCCTTTGTCTGCTTGCCTGATCGTTTCTTCGAGTCTTCATCATCTTCCTGTGGACTTTCATAGCCATCTTGGACTATATCCCACAGATCTTGAGAGATGAAAAATTGGCTCCATTTGGGCACTCCAGTACTCGTACAATTCACCATCGAAAATGGGAATTTGATTTGAGGAGGTAGCAAACATGGTGTTTGAGGAAGTTGTTGTCATGGCTTTTTTAGAAGATTTGGGTAGGATAGAAAAATGGGGATTTAAGAGGATAGAAGGGTATTAGCTCTGATACCAAATTTGTTGGGTATTAGCAGAAGTAATGGTAATTTAGGATCAACACAAAGGAAACAATTGGTGTTTAATCACTCAATTTATGATTCACTCAAACAAAAAAGGCCTTAACTTTTGGCTTATGTTTTAAATCACTCAAGACACACTTAAAAAACATACACGGCAAGCTTTGCCTTTGCCCACTCTTTGTTTTTTCTTCTCTGACTCTCTATGCCCATACAGATTACATATACATGCATAAGAATAAGATTAGAATAATTATAAGATGATTCATATAGTAAATGCATTTGGAGGCTAGCTCTTCTTTTCCAATCCTCTAACAAACGACACTACACATGCATGTATGGAGATAGGATTGGCCAATCATGTTCCACCATTACTAGTGCATTATTCACTTGTCTTTCCTCTTCAAGTTGCTGTCCATAAATTAGTTTGGTGTTCCTTCTCATCACGTCAAATCTGAAGCTCTCCAATTTGATAATGGATCATTTAATTGTTCAGGCCTACCATGTGCAAATGCTTAGAGATGATCATATTGAAAATTATCAATTAACAGTATATACTCCCACTCCCAGAGTGCTACTTAGTAGCTATTTGCTCCACTTTGTTGTCACCATGAACTGATTTCGCTTTTAGGATACTAGATGGTATGGCTGCAATGCATATTGTATGCTGTAGGTATGCAACAGAAATATCCTACATGGAAAGATGAATAACCAAGCAGCATGGCTTGGCTTCTTATGGAGCATTGGGTTCTTGGTTGCTTTTGTATCTACAAACAAGAACAAAAGGGCCTTCAAATGGTGCATATCATTAGTGTTAGTTCTACATGAACTATATTGGTGCGTACTGGCTCTATTGTTAGAATCGTTGAGCAGGGGCAGAAGCTGCGGGCTTTTAATGTTGATTTCCTTCCCAGAGTTGGAACACCTTAACCATCTAGTGCTCAAAGCATACAGGGGAAAGTGTGAGGTGTTCTCTTTGATTTACTAATGAATGATGTTAAAAATGATTTTTATGTTTCTGGATTGTGGGAGGAGAGGCAGAGACAGGAGTCGCGCTGATGATGATGATGATGATGATGATGATGATGTTCTCTTTTATGAACTAGGAGTGTAATAGGAAGTCAGCCGTAGATTAACAAGTTCTCTTCCACTTCCATCTATTTTCAGTTCTGTCAGGTGGTAGGGATGGGGAATTCGTAGCATAGCGAGTAACCAAAAATAGCAGAATCCCATGAGCCATGGTAATGTGCAGAAATACTACCTTCTAATGACTGGTGCACTGGGCTCGGCCTAAGTTCTAGTCCTTAATTAAGGCCTATTCTTTAAGGATAAATTTAAAGCAATTCTATTGGTTGCTGGATTTTTAGGTAGTTTTTAGGAAGTTATTTGTTAATTAGTTAATAAGATTATTTAGGGAATTGTAATTAGTGTTAAATTATAATATTTAACCATTATAAGGAGTTTACCCACATCTTTATTGCCGGCTCCTCATATTCCATCGTTTGTTCCTCAATCACGCTCCCACCTTCCTCATGACAGCAACTCTCCTCCATTTTTCCTGCCGTCCGGCCGCGACGTTAAACCTCCCCAACTCCAGCTTAGCTGTTATCGCCCCAGCTATAACAGGGGATTCCGGCGTCTTCCCGGCGGTCGTAGCCAACCTCCGACATCACATCCTCCGGCGTAGCCTACAGATGTCGTCGCTCTAGTCCATCGCACTCGCTACCTTCACTCCCGTCCTCCGTAACCTACCTCGGTCGGTCGATAAGAAGGATTTATGTTTCTTTGTTTTGTTAGGTAGTTTAGGGTTTCGTTGAGTGCATGAGTTTAGGGGTTTTCTTTGCATAGGGGTAGGGCTTCTTAATGTATTGATATGTAATTGTTTGTTGTATTATTAATGTTATTGGTCAGCCTTTGTAATTATGTTATATGGCGCTTTTATCAATTTGTTGGTAGACGGACTCAATTCACTAATACAGTTTATTGTCCATTTAGGTCGTAATGATTGGTAATTATTTGAAGGGTTTTGGTTAATTTTGTTATTCCCGATCACTATACATCTGCTAATAACAAAATTATTCAATTATTAATAATTTAGCTTTGTGTATGTAAAATTGTTTCATGACATTATCAACAATCATATATGTTACCAATATCAATATTAATCATTTATTTCTTCGTTGTATTGTTAATAATTTGGCTTTCACGCGGGCAATTGTTTGTTGTCTTATTAATGTTATTGGATCGCTTTTTTAATTATGTTATTCGTCGTATTGTTAATAATTTGGCTTTCACGCGGGCAATTGTTTGTTGTCTTATTAATGTTATTGGATCCCTTTTATAATTATGTTACATGGCGCTTTCATCAATTTGTATTGATTCAAGAGAGTAGTTTATTATCAATTTATGTCCGAATGATTTGTAATCTTTTGAAGGATTTTGGTCAAATTTTTATTCAAGTTATTAATAACTATTAATAGTACGTTGTAACAACCACTGATAAAAAAATTATTATGGGCACTGTACAACCGCTGATAACAAAATTATTCAAATTATTAATAATTTGGCAGTATGTTTGTAACATTTTGTAATAGCATTATCAATAGTCACTATCAACATTTCGGACATACCACAAGGGTCCAAGTGAGATTAGCAGTATGTTTGTAACAAAATTATTAAAACTATTAACAATTTAGTGGTATGTTTGTAACATTTTTTTGATAGCATTATCAACAGTCATATATCTTACCAATGGCATTATTAATCATAAACGTTTTAGTTATAACATTTTCAGTTTTTTATTTATTATGATGATGGTATTAATTTAAAACGGATGAAAGCAGAAGCAGAGTCCTAGGTTCAGCAAGCTGAACCTACCAAGAAGAAAAACAGGAGCAAACAAACACAGCTGATCAGAAGAAGAAAAAAATTGTTGCTCTTTGTTCACTCATGGATTATCAATATATTTATATGCAATTTGTAATTTTTGACAATACTCCACAATATGTCGTGTACAAATAATACAAAGTGTAAGTCTGCACTGCTTAGTCAGACGGTGGAGAAGAAGAAGACAGCCGCACTGAAATGTGATGATGATCGCCTACAACATTTTAACCTACATACTATCATTGTAATAAACGTTATTATACTTATCAACTATACAATTATTTAACACATCAATTATTAACAACCCATAACGTTATTATTAATTATTTCTCGTTAAATTATTAACACTACACGAGTATATAAAAGGCAGCTTAGTGGTTTTGTTAAAGAAATACATTATCTACATTTTCACTTATGTCATTATCATTATAAGCAACGTTATTAACAACATCACCTAATATAGTTATTAACAAACCAAGGTATTTCATGGACGATTATTAACAAACCATAACGTTATTATTAATTATATCTCATTTAATTATTAACACACCACGAATTTACAAAATGCAGCATAATGGATTTGCCCAAGAAATACGTTACCTATCATTTTAACTTACGTTATTAACATTTTCAATGGTACACCTTAATACCAACATAAGCCAATATATAATAACCAAAAGAAATATACAAAAAGTTTTCGAGGATTCCATCACGCCGAGCACGCAGTCCACTTTGTAGTCGTGACGCCGACGGCCAGGTTGCTTACGGGAACACGACGAGATGGTGTCGTGAGGACGGAAAGTCGGCGAGAGGAATTGAAGGCGTGATGGAGAGGGGAATCGACGGCGTTATGGCGACTTGATGATGGGTGGAATCGACGGCGTGATGGCAAGGGGAATGGACGCAGATGTCGAGATGGCGACGGCACGCCGACGCCGGGATTGCAGACAGGAAGCCTACGGCGGGATCGCAGACATGGCTTCGATGGAAATGGTTTTAGGGTTGTGAAGAGGACAAAATTTCGGAAATTAATTTTCGAAAGTGAGAGTTTCTACGGTTTTTATGTTTAATTATTAATATCATTAAAGTTTTATTATATTTCAGTCTTACCCTTGTAGGTAGTTAGCCAATGATTACTAAAGTTTTTCTCTCTCCTTCTCCTATTGGTTGAAAATGGTTTAAGATCTTCCTTAAAGATTGGGATTTAAGGACCTGATCTGACCCGTAATCTATCCTTCTTCCTTGAGTAACCCTTTGTAATACACATTATGTTGGCCTCCAAATAATGTCTGCTATTCAGGCCAATCTTTTCTTCAGCGTTTGGTGTTGTCAGTTGGTTGTACTCGTTCAGTTACCAACTTGCTTTATGAAAATTACTGCGAGTGAACTGGTAAATAACTATAAATATAACTAGCTTTGACCCGGTCCGTTGGCCGGATTATTTTAATTTACTAATTAAGAAATGGGGGAGAGAGCTAGAGCAGAAAAATATTTATTTGAATTGAACCCACAATTTGAATCTATATGAGTCCATATAATTATACTTATAAAGAAATATCGACCATCTAGCTATTCACATTAAACCAATTCACACCTTCATTATTGGTGTTTCCACAATTATGTTTGTTATACAAAAAAATTGCAAAAATTACATTAGAGTTGATATTCATTTTTTGTTTTGTAACCAATATAATAGGTGTAATTTAGAATCAAACCAAATAGTCATTTATTGGCATGACCTTCAAGTGATATTACCAAATATGATTTGACTGGTAATAAATTGGGTTTGGAAAGGATGCTTTTTTGCAATTCATTGTGGAGAGAATTTTTTAGGCCACGTTTGGCATTAGTTGTTCATTCACCACCACATCCAACTCTAAGGTATCACTTTCCCATAAGAATTTTTAATTTAATGCGAAATGAGATGATCTAAATTCCTTCAGTTTTGGGTTTTAAAATAGTAAATTTACAATCACTTATTTACATAGTTTTCATCTCCTACTTTTAAATGTGTGAGATTTAAAGTTTCTTTATCTAAATTTCATAGCA